TGTGTGTGTGTGTGTGTGTGTGTGTGTGTGTGAGAGAGAGAGAGAGAGAGAGAGAGAGAGAGAGAGAGAGAGAGAGAGAGAGAACGCCACTGGGGAGGATCGCCTTGGCTTGTTAGGAGTCTGGGGAGAGAGAAAAAGACTGTGAGAGAATGAGAATGAATATGAATGAGTAAGAACCTGGGAAGCCCCCAGGGATTTGTGTCCCTGGTGCCTGGAGCAATTGAGGGAGTCGCAGGCCATGCGTTTTCCCTCTGGATGGGAAGAGTGGAGTGGAGGCATCTGCAAAACTGGGAGCTAGGTTTAGCCAAACGACTTCCAGGAGGTACTGGTTCAGTTTGGTGTATGAAGAAGAAGTGTCCAGAGACTTGAAGCTCAGAGTGAAAGCGCTCTACACAAGGCAAGGGCAAGGTCGGGCAGTGGATGCAGATGCGGAAGGCAGGCAGGAGCGCTGATCACGATGCTAAGAGGCAGCTCAATAAGGGTCCTAGCGTGCAGCTCAGGGTTCGGGTAGTGGTCACTCCCCCACCACACCCCCGCGCAGGGCGCCCCTGCTGGAATCTTATAGGAAAAGTTGGCTGGAGTCCCAGCAGAGAATAATGTTCCCCCAGGAGCTCAGAGACCAGAGACACTGTGAAAATTGGCTTAAGGCTCTGATTCAAAGTGCCCTGGGAATCTTTACTGAGACATTCATTGACAAGGGGAAGGGAGGGCAATGCATGGCCTTTAAATAACAATGAGACATTTTTAGAATAAACGCAAATATGATGTTGTACAGAGAAAAATAAATTGAGAGGAGTCTGAGAGTAAAGCCTAATCCTAGTTAGTTAAGACACCAGACAAACTCTATGAATTCTCAAGAAACTGTCTCCTCTGCCCAACAGAATAGAGCCTGGGAGTTCTGCAGAGACTTAAATTTCCACAGGGCTCAGCACAAGTAGCTAAAATCACTCCACAAGAACCAGGAATAAAACCCTGACCAATTGCCTCCAAAGAGGTGGACTTCAGAACAAGGCTTGAAACATTATTTTTACCCCACTGCTGCCCTCCTGGTTTGCAGATTAAGAAAAGGAGAAGGCTAGGTGGTATCTCATGCCTTCTGTCTCAACACTCTGGAGGCATAAGTCAGCTGGTATCCTTGAGTTGAAAGCCAGCCAGGTGGGGAAGGAGAGGAAAGGTGAGAGGTCTTTGTGGTACCTTCGCTCTATCCTTGGAGATTGTTCAACCCATTCAGGCATTAAAGATATTTGGTTTTGTTTATCTTGTAGTTGAGGGTCCTGTTCTTTAAATTTTTTTTCTACAGCATGTATTTTTTTCTAATATTGTTACAAAGAAAAATCTACTCATGGTATCTCTGAAATTATATAGTAAGGACACACAAGTTATCTCAAATTGCTGCCAAAGAAATAGGCAAGAATGTCCATTGTTGAAAGTCCATTTCTCTTCATTCTTGTGAGAACGGGGAAGTGTAGTCAGAATTCTTTTGATTTATGTTTTAACCCAACTTTAAGACATCCCTGATCAAGGACTGTGAGGGAGTGCTTGTTTTATACACATAAGCACATTCATGGCCATCACTAATGAGTGAAAGCAATAAAAAGATAGACAATGACAAATAATTAGTTAAGTATATGGGAAAAGACCTGTAGAAAGTCTTAGACCGTTGACTACTCTAGTAGTTGAAGGAAAAGATTGCAGAAGGGGGAATAGATAACTCTGTTGATGTCTTCCATAAACTATAGCTGCCACTTTATGTCCTGAGGTTGTGATGAATCATGTGATGGAACCAGTGGTCCTTCTCTCCAGCTCATACCACAATGCATTTTACTTGTGATTTAATTCATTTATTTAGGAAGCACTATACAACAACTAACATGCACCCAATGCTTGCCAAGTGCCAGGCACTAGTCTCTGTGCATATTCATTCATTTGTTTCCCACAACAGTCTCAATGAAGTAGAAGCATGGACAAGTTGTAGATGCAGGTAGAGAAAGTTCTCTCTCTGATGACCACAGGGAAGCACAGGGATGAAAAGGCAGTCAATCTGACTGGGAAGTTTCTGGACTTCCACTCACCTTGTTGTCACTAAAACCTAAGGCACAAAAGTATTTATCTATAGTGGGGGGAACGTGGGGAAGCATGCGGGGGTCGGGGGTGCTCTCCTAAAAGAAGCTGTGGTGATTTTTACTGGGCCAGCCCTCAGAGGCAGTGTTATTAGGTGGGATGGTTTTAGAAGACCTGAAGCCTGCTTGTACTTCTGCTTCATCCCAAAAGACCAAGATTGGAAATTTGTCCTTGTATAATTCAAACAGTTGAAAATGCATTGATTTTCATGCATCTTTTAAAAAACAAGGCAACTTTAATAACAAGTCGAGGTTTATAAAGCTTGAGTATTTACTGGTTGCATCCTTTATATCTTCTCTTTTAAATGATACTAGAAATCCTGAACTGATGACATAGTAGTTATTAAATATAATTGCGTAGGTAAAGCGATTTTTGTTGCTGTTCGTTTGTTTCTTTATTTCCCCTAATGTATCTTATTTATTTATTCATTCATTTATTCATTTATTTTGGCAAAGCTCCTTTAAGAAACTCTAATTCTTTCTCCCCTAGTCCCATGAGATTTGCAAATTAAAAAGGCCTGCAAGGGGCAAGAAAGCACACCTTAAAAGTCAGATCTGAAAGTGCAGGTTTCTGTGTTTCTAAGTTGAGTGGCATTTATTCAAGGAGCTTGGGACCAAAGGTATTGTGGAATATTTTCATAAACATAACAAGAGAGTTAAGGGATAGGACACAAGTCTATACAAGAAATTCTGTCATCCTTCCTCCACATCTACTCTGAAGGAATTTGTAAATGGGCTTGAGCCTTGAATACAACATTAAGTCAGATGTGGAGTTTTGTACTTGTGACATCATTCTGACTCTTAAAATTTTCTGAATTTAGAGTGTTTCCTTTGAGAAACTGGTTTCCTGTTTGTCCTTAATAAAGACTCAGTCTTAAAGTTTCCTTTCAACTAATTTATGGCCTCCGTATTTCTCTTGCAACACTTCTTGGGATCCGCAATACATAACTAATGCAAAATAATAATGCATAATATGCTGTGTGTATATTGAAGGTTTTTACAATTCTAAATCTATTGCTTATGAAAATCATTTTAATTATTGCCTTAGTCACTGTTCCATGACAGTGAAAACATACCATGACCAAGGCAACTCTTGCAAATTAAGCATTTAATTGGAGAACTGCTTGCAGTTTCAAAGGGCTAGTCCATGATCATCTTGGCAGGGAACATGGCAGTACAAAGCAGACATGGCCCTGAAGCAGTAACAGAGAGCTTTATATCCTGATCCACAGGCAGTGGGCAGAGAGAGGAGAGAGCCACTGGGCCTGGCCATGGTCTTTTGAAACCTCCGAGTTCACTCCCAGTGACACACCACCTCCAGCATGGCCACACATCTTAATCCTTCCCTAACAGTTTACCAATTGGGGACTAAGCATGCCAATGTATGGGGAACATTTTCATTCACACCACCACAGCTATCATTTTCTTTTCCTAGTATTTTAGTAGGCACATAAAATTCTAAAGAATTACACAAGCACACAAAATATACTATTTGTCTTATTTTTAAAAATTAAGATAAACTTACAATTCAAAAATGAATACTATTTTACTTTTTCCTGTGTGTTTAAATGTTTGTTTTTCTCTATTTGGCATAAGGGGTAGAAAATGGGGTGTTTCTCAAGCTCAGTCCATACAACATACTCTGTTGATGATCTGAACCACTCACTGTCCCATTGTGCATTTTTATTCAGGTATTTGAGAAGAGTTTTAAACAGCCATTAAAAGTAGCAAGAAATACATAATGTTCAATAAATTAGTAACAAGAGAATGAGCAATCATTTCTTTAGTCTGTACTGTGATATTATAACTAATGACTCCCGAGAAAGGAAGAATTAGCCTCTTCCAGAGATAAATTCCTAATTGGTTATCTAATACAAAATGGTCAGCCCTGAAACCACACATACACACACACACACACACACACACACACACACACACACATACAAGGGGCGGGGGGGCGTGTTCAGCACATTGTATTTATTTTGTTGTGCCTACTATACACACACATACATGTGCAGATACATAGGCTGGCATTTACATATTTAACAATAATCAAAGAAAAAGGCTATCAATTTGAGAATGGGGTTCCATGGAAGAAGTTGGAGGGAATGGACTTGGGAGGGGCTGGAGAGGGGAAAGTGATGTAATTATGTTTTATTTAAAAATGTAGAACAATTTAACCCAAGGTAATACTCAGATCACAGGGGTGAAAAGGAAACCTCTTTATGAAGATTTTATTTTATCTTATGTAGCATTTTGCAAACATAAAGCTCATTTGGATATTTCAAAATGTGCCCCTGGAAATGGGTAGGTTGGAGGTTCACAGTAAGGCTTTGTGCCTAGATACATGGTTGTAGCATGCTATAATGTATTGTAGTCCAATGAGCCCCACAATCACTCCAGACTCCAGAGGTTTAGAACAAGTAACCAACACATCACTAGTAATATCTCTCTTTCTCTCTCTCCCTCTCCCATTCTTCTTTCCCTCCTTTCTTCCCTCCTTCCTCCCACCACCACCTCTTAGCTGTCAGTTATCAGCAAACACAG